CAAACATAGGCAAGATGTACCCTAAATCATTCACTGGACAGGGCAGCAGTCCTCGTCTACACTCTCAGCTTTTTTGCCAGGAAACTCTGAAACAGTGACAAACTTGCAGAAAGACTGGTAGGCCTGTCTCAGAGGTGAGGGGAGTGCCCAAGTGCCCGCCTCACAGCATATGCCTTGGAAGAGCAGTTGCTTTTACACAGACGTGCCTCTAAGCTGCTGAGGAAAACAGAGGAGCAGCAAGCGCTGCTCCAAGCCAAGCTGCTTGTCCTCGATGAGCAAAGCTCCTTCAAATCACCCTGCAGAGCAGAGGGGTTGCAACTGGGATCAGATCTACAAATAACTGGACTCAGGTAGCGAGTCCCAGCTCTCTGCCTTCTCAAAGCATCGTTCCTTTTCCATCCAGCTGAACACAAGCAGAAAGTCATCAATCATTTGAAACCTGTAGCAGTTAAGAGTTTTTTTCTCCTCCAGCAAGGATTTAGGGATTGGGTGATTGCTCTCATTTACATAGAAAGTTTTAGTTTCCAGGGTTGCTTTCAGAGAGCTCAGAGCACAAACATTAGGGGCCATTGCTCCTCACACTCACATTTTGCTCCCCATGACTAGACTAGTGTCTGGGAGACTTGGGTTTGTTTTTAATTGTGCTTGGAGGCTTCTCATAGTAGAGCAAGTAGCTGACACCAGCACACAGGGATACGCTCCTTGCCCTCAGCCTGGCACTCAAAGCAGCAGCCTGGGTTACCCTTACCCAAGCAGCCAAAGACTATACCAGCTGCCCTACCTCTCAGAGGTGAGGAGGGTGGTTACATCAGAGTACGACTCACTTGCATGAGAAGCCCAGTCCAGACAGTAGTTGCTCCCTATGTGCTGAATTATCCTTGCTCTCCTGCATAACAACTATTCTGGCCTAACTGCGCCCTAATGCAGGCAAAGGCCAGTGACAAAGGTTCATCTGCTCAGCACCTTTCAAGTGACTTGGTGCTTTGCTCCAATTAAACAGAAGTGGCTACTCACAGAAAACCTCAGACCAAACACATCGAAGAGGGTAGGGGTTGAGAGGGCAGCAGGGCACTGCTTGCTGTGACACCAGTCACCATTGCTCAGCAGAGTTTGGAAGAGGAAAATCATCTCAACTGAGAGGCAGGTTACTTCTTTCAACAGAAGGAAGAAAAAAGAAAAATGATTCTTTGCAAAGAAGGATTCTTATGCCACCTGATGTTATTTGGGTGACTCCATTCAGCAATGCAATCCATTCAGCAGCAAATTCATTTTTCACTGGTGATGCAAGTTTCAGTCTGACCATAACAGTTGGAGCCAAGGACCAGGGAAAAAGCCTCCTTCCTGCCTTGGCTGTCTTGCCAGCTCTGCTTCAGTCCTGACGTAAGACAGACCATCACACCAAGGGTGTCCTGCTCAGAGGTCAGCCTCTTTCCAGATCAAGCGTAGTAGGAAACCTCATGAAAGAGTGAGCAGCTTCATTCTAACACCAGCCAAAAGAGACCTGTTCATGCAAAACACATGGAAGCAGCATACAAGTTCAATTCATTTGCTCTTCCCTGAATGTGCTGTATTTTAAAATCAAAAGATGTTTTGGTTAATCAACAACATCTTGGGACAGGACTACACCTCTTCAGAGACTTCAGATTGCCACTTCACCTTCAAAGTGCTGTAGTAGCTCTGAGGAGGGCAACTCTCAGGCTAAGGAAGGCAAGAAAACAATTAAGGCACCTTAGCTGGAGGCTGATGAAGCACAGCAGGAGAAAAGCTTCACTTTGCAAGGTGTTTGTGACAGAAAACATCCACAAGGGCCAAGTACAACAGAGTTAACATCTTTGAACCATGGGGCTCATGTTGACCATGCCCTCAACTCAAGCATTTAATCTGAGGGTCATTAGTATATTTAAACAGGTCTAATGTACAGCTAACTCTAGTGTCAACTCTGTTTGCATAGATAAGATTAGAGTCTGTTACCAAATCATAGAAACTTCTTTCCCTGCATCAGAAAGGCACAAGTATTCCAGGGATTTGGTCCTTATCACGTACCTGCTTTCTCAGTAGAAAATTTAATCCCCTTAGGTCCACAATTTGAATTACTGAAGCCTGGTGCAGTCAGATTTCTGCATTCAGGACACTGTCTTAGCACCAAGCAAGCTTACTACCCCCCTCAGAAGTTTCCTCCAGGTCTCCCTCTGACAGCACTGCAAGCTGCAGCCTACAACCATGAGTGTGTTACAGGGCACTAACAACTCCTGAAGAGTTCACCATTAGACGTTAAATGGCTAGAAGCAGGCAACCTCATGCAGCTTGGCTGAGGCCCTAGCAGCAGACAGCATGGCAAGACTTATTTTCACACTTGTTGCTCAGGGCAAGGTAAGAAAATACCCAAGTACCATTTTGCTACTACACACAACTAAGAACTGACCAGGGTCTCCATGACTTCCTGCTCTCTTCCTGCTCCACAAGGGTAGCTAAGCAGTAGATTTTCCAGATCACAAGGATAGCAAAAAGCAACTGTAGAAAGATGCAAAGCAGACACACTGCCCTTCACTCCAAACTGAATCAGGCACAAAAGTCCCACATGTGCGTGCTTTGAATTAAGCCACACATGAAGCACAAAGGCACCTAGGTGCCTCAGCTCTGACATTGGTATTTTAGGATATCTGCATCAACCTTACAAACCAGCACCTTATACTTGAAGCACAAGGATCATTCAACTCTTTAGCATCAAGAACACAAAGCCAGTATGTTTGGAAAGCATTTTCAAACTTTATTTACAACTGTCACAGTGACAAAAATGTAGTTTGAAAAAAATGCTAGCTTCTCCCTGAGGCTCAAAAAAGAATTACAGAAATATAGAATGTATATCATACAACAGGAGGAGTTTTACTGGAGTGCTTTGTTCTTTAGATACGTTCAACAACAAATAGAAATATACACAATACTTCCAAAAAAAAGGATGCAGACAGAAAGATGCAAGTCTTTAGGGCAGGCAGCAGCTCTGAAGTCCAAGGATTGCCATTTCATTGCTGCCCATACAGTAGTATCTTTGATATACAGCTTTGAACTTGGTGGTACAGACTGGAGACCAATAGAGAGTAACACTTAAAAATAAGATGACTGGCTGGTATGCAGGTGTACAAGCTCATTCCAGTAAGACAGCAAGACTAGAACAGGTGTTACAGATACAACAGCTGAATCCACTGTTCAGAGAAAATGGTATTACTACATCATGACCATTCAGGGACAAACCCTTCCCCAAGGCTGGCAGGGAGCACATGTAATTGATTCTGGGATGCCAGAATAGGAAGAGACCAGCCACTGTGTCAGGACACAACTTCTGCTTTGTGTTAACTAGTCTCCTATCTCATCTGCCTGAAACAGTTATGCAGAGCTGATAAGTTATTGCCATTACATTTATACACAAGCAAGACAAGACTAAAACAATCCTGCCAATATGTTAAAAGCAATTCTTAACCCCCACCAGCATTTAACTACTCATGAGGTATTAAAAATACAAATACACACATGTCAAATAGATTTTAAAAATGGAACCAGTTATAAGCAAAGGGGGGTGGCATTGGGATTATTATGAAAGTTTGGTTAAGGCCTTGACATTTCTTTCTCTTCTGTGCCCCCAGATTTGGTTTAGGTGGTAACTATTCTCATCTTGTTCCAAGACCCACTGGCTCCCAAGCCAGTCCCTGAAGCAGCAAGACAATTGCTCTCCAGGAACGCAGAGCGTTAGCCTGTCCTGCAGCAGAGCTCCCTCCTCCCCAAACAGGGACGGACTATTCCTCCCTGGAACAGGGCATGCTGAAAAGTATATAACCACAGACTTCACAAACCTGTCTGCACTTCATTAAACACCCATGCATGTCTCACCCTTATTACAAGCCAGAAGCATTTCCTGCTTAGGACACTCCACACAATACATTCAGAACAGACCTCCTGCAGCACCCAACCTCACACTGAAGATCTTTGCTAGAGCTCCCTTGGTCTACCCTCCCACTCAGGTTTGGCAGCACATCCCTGCTCCCACAGAGGGGCAGTCAGGCCTGTCCTGCATCACCAAGGCTGTGAGGAGGCCCCACAGGCTTACGAAGCTGAAAATTCCCCATCCCAGTCCTCACAAGCCTGGTGAGCACCAAGTTTGTCACATAAAACAATAGAGCCTCAAAGATATCAGGGGAGGCAGGTAGAAGTCCACACGCAGTTGGCTTTGGGCACTGTAGCAAGATGAGACTTACCACAGTAGCCTCAAACAGGAGAGAAAAATCCAAGGTGTTTAAATCTAGGATAGCTCTTGCTGCAGACAGATGTCTTTGCATCAGATTCCCGTTACCTCATGCTAACCAACTGCAGATAAACTAGGGCCTTGCAGCACAGATGACAAGCAGCAGCCTAAGATTATCCTGCAAATACAGCTGTTCAGCACTGAAGAGTCTAAAGGCAAAGAGAGGGGAAAATAGCTTTGGGAAAGTGGCTGGAACAGGCTCAACAGCAAGAGCAAGAAACCCTACTCCTATAGATGCTCATGTTACTTTAGGAGGTGCTGGACTGGGGAAAAACTACAGGCCCCTCGTCAGTAGAGCATTTAGTGATACTTCACTGCAGACACCCTTCTACCCCCAAACACACAAAATGGAAGCTTTACGAAAGGCAAATCTGAGAGATGACAACTCTATTCTCATGCTTTTAGCCAGAGGCAGTTATCGGCCAAACACTGCTGCGTTTTACTTTTCTTTTTATTCCCCTCCCCAAGCTCCCCATAAAGCGTTCCTCGTGTTCACCTTCCACCATGTACTTGGAATCTCTCTGCTGCCTCAGCCTCAGAAAAATTCAGATAGTGATCTCGAGAACAGCAAACATTTCTCTGCGTTACTTCCTTCCTCGGAAGGTCTGGTGATTCTGTCACATCGAGGGCTTCAGTTCTCGATACAGAGAATACAAAAAAAACTAAGATCTTGCAGGTGCAAAATTGAACTTGTCTTTTTTTGGTTAAAAAAAGACTTTCAAAATAAGTGTGGCTCTTCCTTTAGAAGGGTGCAGTCCCTTGCCTTTCCTCAGATGACATTTATTGCTCCTTGTTGTCCTTCTTTGCATCGTCACAGATTTCTTCCTCCTCTTCCTCCTCCTGCACAAGGAACTCTTCAGGTGGCCATCTCAGCTCCCCACTCTCTACATCACCCTCCGTCGGCTCCACCACGATTGAGGGCAGACGGTCCTTCAGCTTACAGTAACAGTCAAAGTCCGAGGGATCAGGGAAAATCTGAAAGAGCCAAGAAATAGTCCATGAGAAGAGCTGCTTTCAAGCAGCTTTACATCCAGCAAAACCCAACTTAGTTTTGTGTCTCCAGGACAGTCTGGACACAGAGTAAACCACTGAGTGAAGGGGAGGCCCCTAGTACTTGTAAATAAGTACCTCTAATCTCTAATCTATGTATACCAAATAAGCACTGCCTTAGAGGCTTCCAAATCATGTACTTGCCTGGACAGTGCTCACATACACATCTGCCCTTTATCTAAAAGCTGCACCTCCCACCACCCCCTACTTTTGCATTAATGCTCATACATTTGCAAACTAAGCTAAATTATCTCAATCTAGCATCTCATTTCCTGCTTCTGGTCAAGCTACACATGAAAACAGACTTGTGCTCCAGGTTCTGCTGCTAGAAGAGAAAGCAGGTAAGTGACAACAAGAGATAGAGCTACAGAGTCTTGTACCAAGGCCCAGCACAGCTATCAATCTAGGGTAACAGAAAAAAAAACCCTACATTTTAAAGATAATCTTGACAGTCT